CCTGAGTCCGCAGGTTCGAGACCCGCCTGGGCAACTTGGCGAGACCTCATCTCTACAATAAATCAAAAATTAGCTGGGCATGGTAGCACGCGCCTATAGTTCCAGCTACTTGGAAGGCTGAGGCGGAAGGATCGCCGGAGCCCAGCAGGTCGAGGCTGCAGTGGCCGGGAGCAGCCACTGCACTCGAGTCTGGGTGACAGAGGGAGACTCCAACTAAAAAAAAAAAAAAAAAAAAAAAAATGAAGAAACAAATGAAATCACTCATATATTTTATTTAAACTCACAAATCCAAAATATTATTTGAACATGGAGTCAGTATTTTAATTAATTAATTAATTAACTAATTTTTATTTGTAAAATAGAGATGGAATCTTGTTATGCTGCCGAGGCTGGCCTCAAATTCCTGGGCTCAAGTAGTTCTCCGAACTCAATCTCCCAAAGTGCTGGGATTACAGGTGTGAGCCACCACACATAGCCATAGTCAATTTTTTAACATTGTGATATTTTACTTTTTTTCCCTTTATGCAAAGCATTCAAAATCTGGGGTGTATTTTAGGCTGACAACACCTCTCAATTCGAACTAACCACATTTTGTGTACTCACTAGCCTGTGGCTAATTGAACAGCACAGGTAGGCCTGTATATGATAAATAGCGTGCTCCTGATACACAATGTTGCCAGAAATTCATCTTGGACTTTTGAGAGGTAGAAAATAAATTCTTACTTTATATTATTAAAACAGAAAATATGTAAGTGTTTCATATTGTACTCCAAATAAGTAAAAATGTATCCCACTTACAAAAGTAATGCTGTTATTTTACAGAGAAGAGTGCACTGGGAAGTATCAAAGAAGGAATCTTGAAAATCAAAGAAGAACCATCCAAAATACTGTCTGGAAATAAGTTTCAAGATCGATATTTTGTTTTACGAGATGGCTTTCTTTTTCTTTACAAGGATATGAAGGTATGGTGTGAATGTGTATGTGTTTTTATTTGTGTGGATATTAATATTCTTATTTTGTACCACTCTCAGTCCTCTCTTGGAATTTACTGCCTGTCATATATAAAATGCAGAGTAAACTGACAATTTCTTTCAGACTCTGGGATATGATATTATGCATTCAGTAACAGTGAAGAACATAACAGCCTTTCTAAGCACCTCAAATTTTTAGGACAGAGAATGACTAATGCCTTGATGAAAAGTCTAATATGTGCTATATAAACTAGCATATACATCAGCATCTCAGTCAATAAAACTAAGAGAAATGTATCATACCCTAAGGTAAAAGAGGATGCGGTTAGCTAATAGAGATTAATAAAAGGTGGAATAAGGGCCATTGCCTTACTAGACTGGTGTGGCCCTTACTCTTGGACCAATGGCCGCCGCCATGTTTCCTGACTTTGGTCCCCTCTCCTACTTTGGGGATGTGAATCTCCTCTTTTTTTCTCTCTCTCTTACTTTCTAAATAAACTATGTTTTTTAATATTAGAAAAAGGTAGCCAGGTTCGGTGGCTCAGCCTGTAATCCCACGCCTTGGGAGGCTGAGTTGCGTGAATTGCCTGAGCCTACGGGTTCGAGACCCGCCTGGGAAAGTTGACGACACCTCATCTCTACAATAAATCAAAAAATTAGCTGGGCGTGGTAGCGCATGCCTGTAGTTCCAACTACTTGGAAGGCTGAGGCGGAAGGATCGCTGGAGCCCAGCAGGTTGAGGTTGCGGTGGCCGGGAGCAGCCACTACACTCCAGTCTGGGTGACAGAGTGAGACTCCAACTCAAAAAAAAATTTTTTTAAATTTTAAAAAGGTAGAATAAAATGGCAAAATGGCAAAACCCAAAAGTTAAAATCAATCTTATTAATATCTTTCTTATACATTTGAATGAATTGACTAATGCAATATCATATTTATTAATGGGATCTCATTGATATATTAGCTATAACTTAATTCCCTTAAAGCTTGTATTTAATAATTGTGGAATGGAGAAGACAACTAGAGCTTTTTAAAAAAAGAGGGAGTAGATAAAATGATGTCACCATAAGAATATTGAACTTAACGTCAGAAGATGTGATCTCTGCTAAGAGTTGGTTGCATGAATAAGTAACTTACCCTCTCAACCTCAATTTCTGAACCTGTAACGTGATAATGATATATGAGTCCTGCATGCCAGATTGTCTTAATACTTAAATAAGTAGATATGTAAAAGTTCTTTTTAAAGTGTGAGACATTTCATAAGTAAGTATAGTAATAATAGCATGCACATCAAGAGATACCACCAAGCGTATGAATAGGCAAATCTCATACTGAGAAAATGTATAAATAATAGTAGATGTATCTGAAAAAGGGCTTGTGTCAAGAATTTAGAGAACTCTTTCAAATCAACAAAAAGAAACATAACCCAATAAAAATTGGGGCAAAAGATTGTACAGATAATACTTGTAGGAAGATGTAGAAATGGCCAATAAGCCATTGAACCCAAAGTGCTCGCTATCATTAGTCATCAGGAAATTCAAATTAAAACCACCAGATATTATTTTACACTCCTTAGTATGACTAACATTATAAGAGTGACAGCATCCAATGTAGATAAGGACATAGATTAACTAGAACTCTCATAAATTGTTGTTGGAAGACTAAAATTACATTACAATTACGCTGTAAAACTGCCTGGAAGTTTTTGAATCAAGTTCTTCATACATCTACCCCATTTCCCAGCAATTGTATTCCAAGGTATTATTTTCACGAATGCACTTGTACAGGAATGTTTATGAGCAGATTTGTTAATGAATGCTAATACCTGGGAACATCCCAATGTCTATCAATAGAAGAATGTTATATTCGTACAATGGAATACTACTCAGCAGTAAACATGAATGAATATTAACATGTGCAACAACACTGGCAAATCTTTAAAATCTTGTGAAACAAAAGAAGCTTGGCATAAAATAGTACCATATGAGTCTGTTCGTAAGACTAAGAACAAGCAAAAGCATTCTATGGTGATCGAAATCAGAAAGTGTTTGCCTAGGTTGGAGAGAAAGATTGCTGCTGAGTTCAGGGGTGCTTTCTAGGTAGAAATGCTGATTATCCTGTCTTGGGTGGTGATCACCTATTTTATATGGTGACATCTCTACTTCTTTAAGGTTCAAGTAGTAGCAAGGCAGTTATTTTAAATGTGGAACAGCAGTCAGCAGGACCTGGAGAATACTTTTTTAAACTGAATTATAAAATTCACTTGAGTAAGCATTGCTTTTATACTTTAAGTTAATAATACTTTACTGTGTTCTGTTGTGGAGATGTACAAAGAAAGAACAGACTATAACATCTGTTAATACGTTATGTGAAGAAAGGATTGTAAGGCAGCTTTCCAAAGCTGTGACTAGAGGTTTTTGTGACTTCTTTTCAGCTCTCTATATGCTTTAACTACTTTCCCTGTATATTCCTCCAGCAGGGAAGCCTCCATGTGGGTATAAATAAATCATAGTAGCATTTATACAGTGTGTATCCGTCACACGCTTGCTTTCCTTAAGAACAATAGAATGTTCAGGCAGGAGACTAACAGAATAGCCTTGAATTCTATGACTTTTATCAGAGATTTGTATTATATAACTTACTTGAATTCCCGCCTTATTATTTCACCTGACAAACCCAGAAGGGACTCTCTCTGTATATCAACTGATTATTACAATTTATTATTGTTCTTCAGGTTTTTTTGTTTTGTTTTTTTGTTTTGTTTTGTTTTAGTTAGGGTCTTACTCTGTCACCCAGGTTGGGGTGCAGTGGCACCATCATGGCTCACTGCAGCCTCCAACTCTTGGGCTCAGGCAATCCTTATGCCCTGGCCTCCCAAGTAGCTGGAATTACAGGTGTGAGCCACCATGCCCAGCCTTTATTCTTCAATTTTATCAGTAGAGGAATAATAATAGGGTTGGTAGAAATAGGCACATAAGTATTTGGGGTTACATGAATGGAACGCCTCACATATTAAGCTTTGTGAGCTTTAGGTCTGTGTTCATGAAATAAAAATCTCGACGTAACAGCTTATTAGTCTTACCATCTAGACTGAATCTGATTTAATTTTGTTTGATTTTCTGCTGTGGGCCACCCATCTTGGTCTTCAAAGGACTGGTTTTCTTGTTATTTTCCGTATATATAATATGTTGGTTAAGGATCACTTTTGCAGTTGGCTATCTGCCCAGAATGCTTAAAAGTCAATCTGAACTCTCTAGTCCGGTCAAGGAACTGACACCTTCCATTGTATTACAACAGAAGAGTGCTAAAAACAACTCATAGTTAGTAGTGGTAATGGCCGTGCAGTCATAATAGCAGCAACTAACGTTCATGTAGTTACTGTATACGAGGCAGTGTTTCCTACATTTCACTTGGGTTATCTCATTTTATTTTTACAGTAGTTCCATGCAATTGGCACTATTATTATTCCCACTTTGCAAATGAAGAAATACAGCCACAAAGGTATCACACAACTTGTCCAAATTCACATACACAGTACGTGACGGAGTCAGGATGTTCTTCCCCAGACAGCTGACTCACAAGGCTTGATGCAGAATCTTACTAAAGAAGCTGTAAGCCGGGCTCGGTGACTTAGCCTGTGATCCCACGCTCTGGGAGGCTGAAGTGAGTGGATTGCCCGAGCCCGCGGGTTCAGGACCCGCCTGGGCAACTTGACGAGACCTCATCTCTACAATAAATCCAAAGAAGCTGTAAAAATTGGCATTATGATAGCTTAGTGTTTTTGCTGTCCGAATTTTATTTCTAGAGAATAAATCCTTTTCATTAAATAGTACCAAATGTTTAAATGTGGAAATACATACAGTTCAGTTTTTTGTGTTTTCCCTTAAGCAGATGTGCACTTTAATGTGTGTCGCAGGGAAGCCTATTCATGGAGAAGTGTTTCTTACAAAGGGAATTTCATTGTGAGATGAGGAATCTCCTATCGCTTAACAGAATAAGTTTTGCTTTAAGGACTTGTATCTTTTCATTATTATTATTATTATTTAATTTTTATTGTAGAGATGAGGTCTCGCCAAGTTGCCCAGGCTGGTCTCGAACCCGTGGGCTCAGGCAATCCACTCACCTCCACCTCCCCAAGTGCTGGGATTACAGGTTGAGCCACTGAGCCCGATAAGGATTTGTATCTTTTTGAAAGGATCCTCTTGCTCAACCTAAGAAAATTTGTGTAAACTGGTAGGCTGTGATAGTGTCAAGAGCTTGTTTAACAACAGTTTTTTTTTTAAGGACACTGGATGCATTAAAAAAAGTTTGTGGAGTAATTATCTAGTTATTAAGTGTTTGAAAGTTACATTTGTATATCTTTCAGAATAAATTAATGTGACTGATACTTTAATTTGTACATTAAGAAAAGCAAATGAGGCCAGGCTCGGTGGCTCAGCCTGTAATCCCGCGCCTTTGGGAGGCTGAGGTGAGTGGATTGCCTGAGCCTGTGGGTTCGAGACCCTCCTGGAC